TGCATGAAAACTGAAATCTAAAGTCAGCTCTCTGGATGCCTGGAGTAACTGACTGCAGAATATTTATAAAAATCCATATGGCAAGTTTGGGTCATTTCAAGGGCAAGTTTAGGACTCTTCACGAAGTTTTAAGAATCTCCAAACAATTCAGTAACCCTTGAAAGTACTCCTCTTAGGAAACAGACCTCCAACTACTAGCCTACCTTGGGTAATAAGAGGATAGCATTAAAGCCTAGGTCTCTTCTCAAAGGCTACCAAGGATTAGCCTTGTAAGCTGACTCTAAAGTATCTAAACTGTGTCCTTGGGCGTGTTCTTTAATTACCCTCATTTCCTCCACCTTCACCTACATACCACAAAAAGTTTAGAAATCAACAGAGAATGTCAGAATACTAACAGTAAACACCAGATGTTGATTCCCCTCTAACACCTTGCCAGGCCCTTCCACTCCTTCCATAGGTCACCTTTTCACCCCTGAGGGAGAACAAAGACATTTACTAAGACTTCCGCAACACTTTTGCTTTCTGAATTTTCACAGATGGAGATGGAGACACAGAGACACTCATTTTCTTCCCTAACAACAGGGGCTGGCCCTGATGCTCCCCTAGGAATTCCTCAGAGAGGAGCCTCCTGCCAAAGAGACTCCGCCTGGCTACTGCAAAGAAGCCAGGCCAGTCACCTAACACAGCAACCAAAGGGGAATGTTGGGACGAGCAGAATGCCTGATAGGACCACTGTCTCCAACCCTGCTTTAGCCCAGCTTAGTCAGTCACCTACCACCACTGCCTGGCTGTCTCTTCACTGAAGTCCCAGGACAACAGAATAAGCCTTTTAGCCCACAGCCTCTTAACAATTACTGACTATTGCTCTTGCCCTTCAAAAAGTCCCAGAGGCTAGGATATCAACCCTAAAATAACAAGGAATGGAAACTAGAGACGCATGATTGTGTCTTTCCTTTCACTATACTGATGAAGCGATGATGAGAATGCAGATCCTAATTACCAGCCAATGGACCCCTCCTCCTGATCACACCTTCCCTTACAACCCAGCCAGTACCCTAGGCTAGGGATGGCGAACCTTTCACAGCTTTCAGTGACAAGCAGCCCACTGCGGCACCTGTGCCACAGGCTCACACCGCTGCCCTAAGCTCTGGTCCACAGATTCAAAAGCTCTGCACTAAACAACAGCTTGCAAGTAATCCTGAACTGTTTTCTCTTTCTGTCTTTTTTGTTTTGTTTTGTTTTTCTCTGGTACCGGGAAGCGAACTCACGACCTCGCGCTTGCCAGGCAGGCGCTTTGCCGCTGAGCTAAATCCCCAGCCCCCTGAACTGTTTTCTCTAGGACCTCCCAACTGCAAGCCATGCTAAATCCCTGCTCAGAGGCAAAGGAAGCCCTGTCTCCCTGGATAGCTTCAACATTTTCTTTGGAGGCCACTGCAGATTTCACTTCAACTCACCTCATCTGACCTCAACACACCATTACTAGGCAATGGTCCCTGAGCTGCTGCCTGAAGAACATTTCTGCAGTTTCATTCAAAAGTGACTACACATTTCTCTAACAGATTCGGCACACTCAAGAAAGAGTATGAAAACTGCAAGAGTAAACTAATAGCCAAAAGAGAAACCATAGCCTGGGGACAGCTTCCAGGATTCACTTAACCCCTTTTTGGAGACAGGGTCTCCTCAAATTGCTAAACTGCTGGGTTTAAACTGTGATCCTCCAGTTTCAGTGCCCCACAGTGCTGGAATTACAGGTGAGCATCACCATAGCCAGCTTAACATATTATTTTTTTTAAATCTAAGTTGGAAGAAGTACGTCTACCATCAAATTCTAACACAAATACTGTCTTATTTTCTCTACTATTGTTCACATGGTCCTCTGAGTTTGAACAGTGCTTTGATGACGAACCAATGTTCTCTACAAAAGTACTTCAAAGACCATTTTTTAAATGATAAAAGTGGGGGCTGGGGATTTAGCTCAGCAGCAAAAGCGCCTGCCTGGCAAGCACAAGGTCATGAGTTCAGTTCCCGGTACCGGAGAAAAAACAACAACAACAAAAAAAAGATAAAAGTGTACATACACCTTTTTTGTGAAGACATAAAGAGTGCTTTCCAGAAAGCAATATAAACTGCCAGTTTAACCTCCTGCAAGAAGCAATAGATTCTGCTGTACCTGTACCAATTTTAAGATTAATATCTCTCTACTGGTCTGGCTTAAACAGTACTTGAGTCAGCTCCTCTCTATCTACCTGAACAAATGCAAACTTTTTACCTTAGAGGGCTCTACATGATAGTGCTTCTTTCTAAAAGATAATCTTTCTAAACTTTTCCTTCACTAATATTTTTTGCAAACTAACCATGCTATCTCCTCTCAGTTCCCCCAGTAATTTATAATATCTGCCACTACACCATTCCCTCAGGTTGAAATGCCCTCCCAAACTCAGCCTGAATTCTAGTCCAAGACCAAGTTCAACTTGAGCTTCCTCTGTGATGTGATCAGCAGCCCAGCTAAAAGTGCTCATTTCCCCTCCATTACATTTAAAGACACATTATTTCTCTCCAAACAAAAAATATGCAGCTAGTAGATAAAAAATGACTTCTACTTCTTTGGATTCTCAGAGTACCCCACAAAAATGACTAGGATATAATATTGTTCATTAAATATATGTTTTATAAATGTATTCATACCGCCACATTTGCAAAGTAACTTTATACTACCATTTTTACCAAATACCACCAACCATTCTTACCAAAGCAAATAAGGAACAGAAAATTAAAGATGTCATTTTGGTTTGCCTCAGTGTGATATATCTGGGATGGAAATACTGTATAGGAAAAACTACGCAAAGCCTTTGAGTAAGGAAGAGCTAAATTCACCCACAAGTAATACAGAACTATAGACACTTGACACATTCTCCATAAAGCTAAGTAAAAACTGTTTTATCAGAGTAAAAAGAAAAGCTTAAGCAACATAAAATAGTAATATAGTATTCAAAGTAAAGGCTGTGCCAAGGAATGTTAAAAAGTCTTAAGGTGACTATAATCAATATCCTTTATCTGAGAGGTAGCGAATATACGCGTGTCTTAAACCTTTAGCCCACAATAGGTAGGTCTTTATGCTCCCTCATATATAGCATAAATGGCTATACTATGTAGTAAGAACAAGATATAGCGTGAAACATAGCCACCTCTATGTTGAAATACTGTCATAACAGCCAAATGATATTTAAATAATTTACCTGTTTTGTACTGCATTTAAAGATTTCCAGCTATTGAAATAGGTAATAAATGTTCACTTTATGAGAAAAAAAATTATTAAATGGCTATGTAAAAATTGGTTTCTTGGCATTCCCAAATATTATGAGGTTATTATACAACCCTGACGAATACACAAGTCTGATAGGCACTCTTATTATTTGGCTTTTTCAACTGAACGGCAACCACATTAGGCCAGATTCCCTGTCCACCCAAAACAGAAGGGCCAGGGATATAAAGATGGTGACACTGCTACATCATTGTCAGGGTCATCCTAACAAAGAACAGGAGCACGCACTTTCACAGCACTTGTTACACACCAACCACGAGGCTGAGATCTTTACACATCCACTTACAAATCTCCAAAACAATTCTAAAATGTGTGTCACTATCACCGCAACTTACAGACCAGAAAACTAAAGCTGGGCAATTGACATAAGGCCATGCAGTTTGCAAGATAGTGGGACAGGATTCCGAGTCCAGCTCAGAAGTCGGAGTCTTCTCTGTAACCCCCTTTCTGTCTAAATTCTAGGAAACAACGACACTATCAACCTTCCATAGAAAGGTTTTAAAACTCTGTAACATTGAACTTTTAACCTTGTATTTCTTTTTAGAAAAACGCCTTCAAAATGCATTGTCTCAACAGGCTGAAAGCGTGACATCTGAGGACAGGCAAACTTGAGAAAAGCTTGATTTTGCCGTGTGAGTGGTGATAACGGTAAGGAAATCACTTCAGATTCCTCATGTGGAAATGGGGATAATGCTGTAAGGACTGAATGGGATACTTTCCCTGCCACACAGTAAGTAATCTATGATCACTATGACTAATACTAGTCACCATTCTACTTGTTCTTAATTTTACCAGTTTTGAATTAAACTAGAATTTAACCTTGAAGTTAGATCAATACCTTTTTAAACAAGAGCTATGATAATACCCCAAATTAAGACAATACTGTCTGCAAATACATAATATATGCTGCTTGCTAATAATGAGTACCTTAGCTGGGCATGGTGGCGCACGCCTGTAATCCCAGCACTCAGGTGGTAGAGGCAGGAGGAATGCCGCAAGTTCAAGGCCAGCCTGGGCTACATAGTGGGCTCAAGGCCAGCATGAACTGCATAGCGAGGCCCTGTCTCAAAGAACCAAAAATAATTTTTAAATAAATTTAAAAAATAAAAATGAATACCAAAAATAAGGTAGTAGACACAAGCAGCAACGGTAAATGTAGAAAAAGAAAACTTTATGAGAATTAGTGTATTCTTGAAGCTTCAAAGGTCAGAATCAGAATTCTTTAAACTAAAAGTATGACATTACTGGGAACTAGCTATAAGAAATATGTCCAGTCTGTAATCCCAGCACTTGGGAGGCTGAGGCAGGAGGATTGTTGCAAGTTCGAGACCAGCTTGGGCTACTAAGTGAGTTCAAGGCCAGCCTGAACTGCACAGTGAGACCCTGCTTCAAAAAGACAAAAAA